TAACAAGCAATAGAAATGAATATTGTGCTAAGGCATGAATTTTACATATTTCATTCTAATATGTATTACATTAGAAATGTTATGTATAGAATTTTGATTTATTTATAGAATATACCTTATTTAGCATCAAAAATATAGTAAACATCGAAATGTAACTAAACATTGCCTTTTCCAGAGCAATCGATAAACAGTAGAATACTAAGATAGTGTGCTTCCAAGGTTTTTAAAATTGCAAAAGTGAAATCTCTTATCTACAGATACAGAAAAGTATGAAATAAACTGGAACAAAATTTAGTTTCACTTTGTTAATGAAATAAAGAGATTGAGATTTCATCTAGAGTTTCTGCTTTAGCACAATTATGTATCTGTGATGCTTCCAGTTTCATGGATATGTCTTTTAAAAAATACTTCAATTTACCAACAGAAACCTTTCAGTATCTCTACCTCATAGCTATAAAACATTCAATTGCCTACTGTTTGCTTCCACTCGAGATTTTACGTATTTAACGACTATCAAATTGTAAGTGAACATACATTTTTGTAATGTAATAGAAAATAAGTGAAAGGCTTAGCTTTCATGCTTCATTGTTTTCGAGACTTGTTAATGTAACGAGGATGACTGAAATAATAATACTGTTTGATTACGAAAGATTTATTTATTTTACATTAAAATATTATTGTGGTTTACCACGTCCAAAACCGCCACGGAATTCAACGTCACCAGTACCCGCTCCCACATCAGCCTTTTTGTCACCTGCGCTACCTGGACCTCCAGGTCCTCTCCTATATCCAGCACGATCTTCTGTTGGCCTAGATGCTTCGCTTCTTGTGGCTGCTGCGGGTCGTGGTCTTGATGCTTCTGGCCTAGCTTGTCTCTTCAACGTGGATGGTACAATTTCAGGAGGTAAATGCAAATATCCACGCAGATATTCGATGCCTTCATTTGTGAGGTACCAGTAAAAATGTCTCCACGCAAACTGTTCTTTGACGTATCCTCTGGATTTCAAAGACTACAAACATAAATTTATGAGAAATCTTTTTAACTTTGCGGTCGCATATCCAAAATTACACATAGGAAAATCTAGTTTTGTTAAGGTAATACACAATTAAATAACAATGAATCAACAAGTTCAATTAGATGTAAATATTACCTGCATTGCTTTAATAACTTGGAGATTAGGAATTGACTCCAATTCTGGGTGTTTTGGTGCATGGTAATCTTTCTTTGCTACCATAACACCCTCCTTGAAGAGGTATTCATAAATCGCTACACGATTCTTTTTTGGCATCAACATGCTGAAAATAAGCAGTATTTTAAAAACATACACACACACGCACACATTTATTTTGAATTGTTTAAGATAGAAAATAGGAGGTTATATTTATTTCTGTAAATTTATAAAACACCAGTAGATGATTAATGCATAATAAAAAGACAATTTATTAAATAAGAAAATCTATTAAAAGTAGAAATATACTAGTTCTTCTAAATTTAACAAGTGTATCAACTACGTTGACAGATTATGCAAAATATTGAAATTAATTTTTCANTACAACACTATTTCTCAACCAGGATTCTCTTGTGAACTTTTTTTGTAAATTGTAAACTTCAGAAATCAAAAGTATCTTTTTTTTCTTTTATGTGAATAAATTTTTGTTAGATGAGTTTCATCA